TTTTGGAGATTTTCAGGCTGGATATGGATCAGATTAGCTCCAATCTACTCAAAAAGGCATTTGCAACATGACAGTATGCCTTTCTTTCCACTAGCATTGCATTTTACCACATTTTTGCTAGGGCACGTGTAGAAATCAAAATTTTGAGAGTTTTTGGATCAGGACGTGACCTACCTCTTTTGGGTTTTCACTTTTTGTAATTTTTTTTTCTTTTTTTGCCTTTCCTTTTTCTCCTTTTCTTATCTTTTTGCTGCAGTGATTGACCTTTTACTGGGCTTGCTTCTAGTTCAAAAAATTCTGAGAAAGCATCATTGAGATGGGCAATTTTTACCATGAGTAGCCACGTGTAGTCACAGGAGATTTTCCTATGAGTTTTTTGCTCAAATTTCTGAGCATTTTCATGCACATTTCAGGCTCCATTGAGCTGATCACTCTGATCTGGGTATCATTGGAAAGACCGTTTCCTCCTGCAGAAGTTGAGTATAGATGATGCCAATTTTGGTCAAAGGTGATGACGTCAGAAGTGGAACAAAGGCCAAGACTCATCACGGCTGGTTACGGGTGGCACAGGAGTCAATGGGTTAATAATAATAAAACTCATTACTCACAAGTCAATTGGCTTGATACACTCTGGTGATTTATTCCTAGAGTTGTTGACCATCATGGAGACTGGATGCCACTCCAAGCAGTCCTTGGGTGTGACTAAGNTGATACACTCTGGTGATTTATTCCTAGAGTTGTTGACCATCATGGAGACTGGATGCCACTCCAAGCAGTCTTTGAGTGTGACTAAGTTTAGAGCCTATTAATTGAATGATGACATGGGTAAATAAAGCTCATTTATCCAATTTTATTCATTTACTTTCCAGTTTTTGAAAACATGACAACTTATGTTTTCTAGACCAGCTAGATCTGGTAAATGATATAACATTATGTTTCCTTGGTTATAATAGCAATTTCAAAGCTGAAATATAAATTAACACAAGAGAAAAATGGTTATCAACCTTTTTCCAGGGGACTTCTCCACATTCTAACCACTGATGGACCTCTTCTTCACCATGTAGAACAGCCTTAAAATTAAAAAGATAACTATGGATTTGTGTTGAGATAAGTAAACATTTAATAATTAAAATAGAATAATGTAATATTATAAACACACCAAATTAAAGAACAAACTGAAGAAAAAAAAAGAAATAACCAAAAAGAACTAGGGACAAATGAATCAATTATTATAATGATTTTTAAAATATGGTCATAGGTCTTGTTCCATATCAGAGAAATGATTATTACAATGTAAATAATTAACTCAAATTACTGAAATAATACTGACTATTATATGGCTGTGTCTCACAAGGACTGGGAACTACCAAATTCATGAATTTGATTGGCTGAAATCGATATTGACCATGGTCTAGATTTTCCCATCTAGACCAACATCTCCTCACTTCATTCAGTCTGTACTCACAACCTTGGTCAAGATTCTCCCATACTTAGCTCGGTTAATAAGAGCTAAATATAAAATACTACATCGCATATTTTTTCCCAGATGCTTGTAGCATATAAACCTACTAATTTATATTCTACATTTATTATATGGCTGTGTCTCACAATGACTGGGAACCACCAAATTCACGAATTTGATTGGCTGAAATCGATATTGACCGCGGTCTAGATTTTCCAGTCTAGACCGACATCTAGTAGCAAACTAAAATACAAAAATGTTCACCACTTTCTTTTATTTTCTTCTCAGTCATTTATGGAAGTGCCAAAAAGCCTGATGACAAAAAAAAAGTAGAGAGGACGAGCAAATTTCAGCAGGTTTAAGTTAAGCTCATCGCTGTTTGCAAGTAAAATGTCAGCTAGTGCAAACCCCAGTTACATTAAACGAATTAAAGTTTTCTTCTTTGCCATATAATAAACATCTTATTAACTGAGCTAAGT